CATTAATCCCCACTGCTAAAAAACAACATTTATAATTGCAGAAACTCTCTCTCTCTGCACATTGGTCGAATTCTCATCCTTGAGCTCGTAAGTAATCTTTTCTTCGGTCACAAACTCCTTTACCATTTCGTTTTCTTCATTCTGTGTGTTTCTTTTCCTCCAGATTGATAGATCTGATTCATTTCGAGGAATGGCACGGAGAAGAACGGATTCACGCTAGTAGAGCCGTGTGAATTAGCCAATTAGGTTTTTTTTTTTAGCTTATTGGGTCGCTAGAGAATGGAGACGAGGATGAGCAAGTACCGGGAAGTGAGTCCAGAGAGAGCAAAAGTGTGGACAGAGAAATCACCAAAGTACCATCAGAAGATTAACAAAGTCCCAATTGTTTATTACCTCTCCAAGAATCGTCAACTCGAGCACCCTCATTTCATGGAGGTTCTCATTTCTTCCCCAAACGGTTTATACCTTAGAGGTAACAAACAATAATGCTTTCGCAATTTCAAGTTTGGTGGGAGGGATTTTTGCTTTGGGAGTCATTATGTTTTGTGTTTGCAGATGTTATAGAGAGGCTTAATGTTCTCAGAGGTAGAGGCATGGCTTCAATGTATTCTTGGTCCAGTAAGAGGTATCTTGATATAGCTTTCTTGATTTTCACTTGTCTTCTAGCAACAAGAGTTTCAGATTTCAATGTTTCTTCACTAATTGCAGAAGCTATAGGAATGGTTTTGTTTGGCATGACTTATCAGAAGATGACTTAATTCTACCTGCTCATGGGAATGAGTATGTTCTCAAAGGTTCTGAGTTATTTGACGAATCTAATTCAGGTGAAAACAAAAAAAAAACTCTTCTGTTCTTATCATTTGGTCTTTGTTACCATGAAGAAAACCTTAGGGATGAAGAATTTATGCTGTGCAGATCACTTTAGTCCAACTGCGAATTCAGCGTCACAAAACATGAAGCAGATAGTTGTGGAACCACCATCATCTAGAAGCATGGATGATTCCTCTTCGTCGTCTAGTATGAATAATGGCAAGGGAACTAATAAGCATTCGCAGGAAGATGATGAGCTTTCTACTCCAGCAGTCCGCTCTGTTTCTTCTTCTGGTCTATCGCCTGATTCTAGAGACCCCAAGAACTCATCTTCTTGGTGTTTAGCTGAGTACAAGGTGTATAAAAGCGAAGGCCTCGTAGATGCCTCTACGCAAACCGATGAAACTGTGAGCGGTTGTTCTAAAAAACCCATAGAGACTTTCAGTAGAGGTGTCTCAACTGATGAAGATGGTTCATCAGAACCTGAATCCAGCGAAAATAATCTCGTGAGCGAGGCTTTGTGTGCAGCGAAGGACAGGGTTAGTGTGGAAATATCAAGAAACTCTGTCTCTCCGCCTTTTTCTAATAGTGCCTCTTCGCTCGGTGCAAAGACTGATACTTTGGAGTCCCTAATACGAGCTGATGTTAGTAAGATGAATAGTTTTCGGATTCTTGAGCAAGAAGATGTTCGAATGCCTGCTAGTTCGAGGCTTAGGGCCTCGAATATGCTGATGCAGTTGATTTCATGTGGATCAATATCAGTCAAGGATAACAATTTTGGCCTTGTACCAACTTACAAACCGAAATTTGGACATTCGAAGTTCCCATCCCCTTTCTTCTCCTCGTCGTTTATGCTGGGAGATCTTGACCGCTTGTCGGAAACTCCGAGTCTAATGGGGCTGAGACTGGAAGAGAAAGAATATTTTAGCGGGAGTTTGGTCGAGACCAAGCTACAGAAAAAGGATGCAGTGGATGGTAATACTTCTCTTAAGCGTTCTTCATCCTACAATGGTGACAGGTAGATTACTGAATCACCTGGAAAAAGGTTCTGCTAGCGATTACCTGCTTTTGTTTAAGTGGCTGGTGTGTTATGTTTCGATGTTAAGTCTCTTGTTTTGTCACATTAATGGAATCCATAAATAGAAACTAATCTTAGAACCAAAGAGAGAAGCATCTAGAGCCAAAATCACAGCTTGTAAAAGAATCTGTGGCTTTAAGACTACAATTCAAATCGTATTCCATCCTTTCTGTTTGTTTGTTTGGGTTATTAGTTGAGATTGGAAAGGCTGTTAATTTGAGTAGTAAACTTCATTTCCACGAATTTTCAATGACACGGTCTTCATTCATATCTGTTTTTCAGGGCATCCAACCAAATTGGTGTACTAGAGAACGGAGACTCAAAACCCAGTGGTTCAAAACACATTCCACGCCCGACAAAGGCTTCTTCTATAATAAGCAAGCAACAACCACACAGCAAGTCCATGAGATCTCCTGTCTCGGACAAGGTAGGAGACTCCTCGAAAGAAAGTACCAAGAACATTCCATGTTCCAATAAAACACATGACGTTTGTAGTAAAAGAATAACCGAATCTTTGAGGAAGCCCGATTCTTTCAGAGAAGCCGAGGAGAAGGTGATCAAGATCGATGAAAGGTAACATAAACATCTTGATGCTTCAATGGCTCTTGTACAAAGTGTTGTTAGGAATATCTCACTCTTATCATGATTAATTAGTATTAGATTGTTTAAACAGCTATGTATCTTGAACAGGCTTGCTTCAGGAGCGCGCGTTATAATCCAATCAAATGTGCCTGCAGGGTGTGCATGAGGGGAGCCATAACCAAGTTATTGAGGCTTGCTTTTAAAAAAATTGAAGTCGTAGACCCTTTTTTGGTTTGTTTTTGGGGTGGGCTACTTTCTCCATTAGTTGTAAATCTGGAAAGGTGGTTTGAGAAAAGAGAGAAAGATCATTAAAAGCCTAAAAAAATATCAGAAAGAGCACTAAATGTTGGTATTGGGCAGTGAAAAGATGTAAGTAAATTTGGAAGCAAAAGGTATTAATGTTTTGATGTGATGTGAGATGAGAAGATGGACCACTGTTACTGATTGGTGTGGTCATTGTTAGGTTGGTTTTATTTGTAATTCCATGCCATTTCGATTTTCAAAATGCAGCCGAAAGTTACAGTTATCTGAATCTCTGACACCACTTATCTAGTCTTGTATTCCTAAAGGTGTGAATGGTCATAGCAGAATTGAACTTGTTCCATGTCTTCATTAATGTAATATAACAAGTTATCTATTTACTATTTATAATTGCAAAGTACGTATGTTTCATTATTAGACTAATACACATTATTCTATTGTAGGTCAATGGTGTACACACTGTTCATAACGAATATACTTCATGACTGAAACTATTCACGGTGGACACTATTCATGGAAGATAATGTATTTCATGATCCGCCGTGAATAATATCTGTCGTAAATAGTATACTCGCCGTGAACAGTGTGTACACCATATATAGTGTAAAATAGTGTACATGAACAGTGTATCCAACGCGAATAGTGTATCC